CTTAATTTTAATTTAAAATTTCATTATCTCAAGCCCGGGATATTGTCCGTGCTTGTCCAGCTTGTCAGCAACTGGCAGTTCCCTTTCCAGTAGGTGTCAACCCACAAGGAACCCAAGCTAATCAAATTTGGCAAATGGATGTAACTCAATTTTCAACCTTTAAGCCATACTGTTATCTTCATACGTCTATTGACACTCATTCACACTTCCTTTGGGTTACTGCTTCAAAACATGAATGTACTTCAGATGTTATTTCTGGGGTTTTCTATAATGGCTAGGGTTTTGGTGCCATTGAAGTTGATGCTATGACCTGTGGCTTTCCTGTGTTGGACTAGTGAGGAAGTGTGTTCCAGCTTTTTGACTGCATTTTTGTGTTCATCCAGGTGGGTACTTATTCTTCTATTGGTCTGTCCAATGTATGTGGCTGGGCATGATGCACAGGGGACTTCGTATATGCCTTGGTTTTCCAGGTCAATTTTATCTTTGGGGTTTCTAAGGATAGCTGCTATTTTTCTGTCTGTTTTGAAGGTAGTCTTGATGTGATGCCTGTGTAGTATCTTACTGATTTTGTCTGTAGTACCTCTTATGTAGGGCAGGACAGCTGTTCCATAGGTGTGTTCATCTTCTAGGTCTCCATTATGTCTCAATGTGTTTTTGTGGATCAAGCCAGTGATTTTGCTTTTGTGGAAGCTGTTGGCTGTCAGTACTTTAGTCAGGGTGCATAGTTCAGTCTTTATGTGTGTCTTGTCTGCCAGGCGTTTGGTTCTGGCAATTAGTGTTTTGGCCACGGAGTTTATCTGTGCTGGGTGGTGATGGGATTGGGCGTTGAGGTAGTGGTTGGTGTGTGTTTTCTTCTGGTATATGGTGTGTCCTAGTGTGCCATCCTCCAGGATCCAACTTCACCCCTATGGGCTATCGATTGCGAAACTTTGGGCATTTAGAATGGAGCTCCGTTCCTCTGCACCGGGTTGTGATCAGCCCATAGATTTGTTTCTATTTCTATATCTTGTACACTTGTGCTTAATTCCTGTGACATCCACATCATATCTATTCTAGACTAAGATTGACGTCTGTATTGGTTTCTCCCTGGGTTCATTTCTCTCCATATATCCTGTATACATAGTTCTTCTGTCATTTTAAAAAAGGTCCTAGGTAGAGTTTTTCTTTTTTCTTGTTTATTTTACTACATTTGTAGTCAAGTTTAGTATCAAGTATTGCATTAAAGTCTCCTAAGATACAGATATTTTCATATTCTGTTTCAAGTATCTTCTTGTGAAGTCTTTTATAAAATTCTTCTTGTCTTGTCCTCTTGTTATTTGGCACATAAATAGCAACTAAAAGTATCTGTTTTTGGTTTAATGTCACTTCCACCATCAAGTTTCTCCCTTCTTCATCTTTAAAGATTTGATTGGCACCGATTGTTTCTTTAATATATAATGCCACCCCTTTTTTGTTGTGATAGCGAGGAAAACAATTTCCTCAATTTAGGATACCCCAATAATTTATTATGTTTTTTATATGTACTTCTTGTAATGAAATTATATCTAATCTTAATCTTTGTAATTAAAAAAAAATTCATGGGGGAGTTTAGTCCATTTATGTTAACTTATAACACCTTTATTTCTTCTTGCATTGCTTCACTTGTATATAGGTCTTATGCTCCTAGTTGCTCTTATTTCTCTCTGTTCCTTTGTTATTTCTCTGTTTCTTTGTTCTTGCTCATTCTCACTCTTTTTTCCAAGCTTTGCTTTCATCTTGTTGTGTAAACTTATTCTGTGATTGACACTTCCTGTCCTTTATATTCCATTTCTCCCCTCACTTCTTGGCCCTCTTCTCTATTGAAGAGATGGTCATAAAATTCCATGGCTTTATCCAATGAATCTAGTCTGTATCTTTTTTATGCCAGGTAACTAATATTCCTTCAGGTATCAGCCATCTAAAGTTTACATTATATTTGATCAGCATTGTAGTCAGAAAGTAGTATTGTTTCTGTAGGTCTCTTACTCTCCTAGGGTTCTGCTTCCAAACTACCAATTATTTCCCCTTGTATTGCAATAGTTCATATCTTGCCTTACTAAGTGCTTTGTCTCATCGATTTTTTCATAAGTCTCATGGAAGGTTGTGTCTCCTCACATAGCTTGTGAGTATTCTAAAGATTTCACCAAGATCCACCTCCATCTCCTGCTTATCAATCCCTAGCATCTTTGCCAACAACTCTTTCATTATGTCTGGCAAATCTTCCCCCTTTCTCCTTTACTATATTCTGAAATCTGAGATAATGAGCTGCTTTTTCTGATTCTAACATTATCATGGTATGTTCTAGTTCTTTATTTGCTTGTGATAATCTATAAGTTATGTCTTCAACTTTTTTCTGTGTTTGTTCTGATTTCTCCTTGATTTTTTGGATCCTTTGCTCATTTTTTGTTATCATTTGCTGAAAGCTTTCAAGTTTTTCATCCATATTTTGATTTTTTTTTCTTTTATCTCTCCCATATCATTTCTTCCTTCCCCAATATCTTCCTTTATCTCATGATTTTTTGTCATGGCCTCCTACAGCAACTCCTGCAAAGGCTGAAACATTGTCCGCATTTCCTTTTGGAATGTATTTGATTTCTCCAGCTGTAGCATACTCTCTATTGATTTCTGATTAGATGGACTCGAAGAGGCTGATGACTGTGTGAAAGATGTCTTCTTTCCTACTTTAAAGTAGATTTGAGGTGCTTATCATCTTGACTGCTAATAGACTAGCAACAGATACACCTGCCCTACTAACCACCAAATGCTATCAATCAAGGCTAACCACAAACTGTCACCCCAACACATCAATATCCCAAATGTCTAATTTAAAAAAAAAAACCTATCTCAGCTCCAATTCCCTCCAATTCAATTAATATTCAATCAGTATTCAGTCAATTGAATTTATAATCCACAAGGCCGCTGTGTCCCCAATCTTTAGTACTTCAATAATCCAATAGTCCACAAATTCAATCCAAAATCAATCCACATAGGTTCTTCTTTATAAAGAAGGTCAAAGAGTAATATTTGTCCTTAAGAATGTTTTTTATATTGTCTTTTCTCCTATCAAGTAGTATTTATAATCCACAAGGCCTGCTGTGTCCCCAGTCTTTAATACTCCAATATTCCAAAATGCCAAGCTGAAACCCAAAGTCTTCTTCCCAAGTTCTCAGAATAAATTTTGTCTTTCCATTTAATCATTCAGGTATTCAGTTAATCCTTCAATTATTCTTCCCATATTTTCAAAATAAATTTTGTCTTTCTATTTAATCCTTCAATTATTCAATAGTATTTAAAATCCACAAAGATTCAAAAGGAATTCTTCTCTACAATTGCCACTTATCTTACTTTTCCCACGTTGATTTCCAAAACAACTCTGTTTTCAATCTGTTTCTAAACACCAGATTTAACAGTTCGCAAACCAAAATAAACTGTTCCAAAATACTTACTCTCTTCCAAAATATTTCTTTTATATACTAACTTTGTCCAGTATGTGTCATCCCTACTCTTTTTTTCTGCCTTTCCACTTATGTTTCAAGAAGGAAAAGGAAAACTTTCACATATTTTAGCTGAAATCATACGGGAAATAATGCAATAAAGTACATATTGTCCATATCAATATCTTGAGTGGTGGTTATCTATTAAAATGCCCAGTCCAGTCTTTCTTTATCCCTTTTAAAATTAGATTTCCATTTGATTCTCTTTCTATCCCATCGAATGTGTAATCAGCTAAAAATTTTCACTTGCTGCTTTCCTTTGGAGGGGGGAATTCCCTCCCTCCTTCTCTATGGAGCCCCCTTTCTTTTTTATAATACTTTTAAGGGTACTTAACTTAATTCTGGGTAGAAATTAGGCAATCCTTACCCAGATCCAGTACAATGTTTCTCTTTCCGCTTTTCCCTGGTTTTCTTAATTCCGGCTGTCACAGCTCTGGTTCAGCCATTAATGGCTGTTTTCTTCTCCACCTGTCAAGAAGATATCCTCTGATCCAGCAAAGTGGACTGCCATCCACTTGCGATCTACGGGGAGCCCTTCCTATCTTTGTCACCTCTTACGAGGTGACTTTTGGCTCCAAAGAGCCTCCAGGCAGGCAGAAATCAGCTGGGCTTCACTGACCTCCGCTCGCCACAATTGCACTGTGCCAACATCAGCAGGATCTGAAATATTTCTTAGTAGACTTTTGCTGATTGGTTTTTTTTTTTGGGGGGGGGGGGTAGTTTGACTATTGATAAGATATGAGATATGGGAAGAAGATATTATTTTTAACTGAAATTGTACAGAAAGTATTAAGTTAGTTAAATTGCTTATATTTATATCTAAGGAATTGGAAGTCATTTTAATATAGTTTTTCTTTCATTTTCCTTTATTTATTTATTTTCCTTTATTTATTTTTCTTAATTTGTTTTAGTTTTTTTCTTTGCATTTGTAAATTTTAATTTTTTTTAAAGGTATGATCGTGTATCTACCACATTTGTTGTGCTGGCCATTCATTGTTTTTGCTGAAGATATTAATATTCCTAAGCATCCAAGAATAAGCCATTTTCCACTAATGGTGAAATTTGGTTGAGTTCCAGGTGACCTCAAAACAGTTTATGTTTGCATTTCTGTAACTATATGTGGAATCTTGTTAAGGCCCCAGAATTCAGTTTAAATACATTATTTTCTTACTTAACCTTATTGCAGTTATTAACAAGCACAAGATAATTGATATTCAAAAATGCAAACCATGCAAAATTAAATTGAGAATCTCAGGATAGTTAAGAAAAGTGCATACAGACAAGTATTTTTGGCTAAACTATAATATTAAATCAGAATATGCTGAAAGTTTGCTCAGGCTACATGTATACAACAAGAAGAAATTAAAGTTAGCAATTTGGAATTGCAATGTAAAATACAGATCCACAGGAAATGCCCACACACACACACACACACACAAATGCATATGAAACAATAAAATTATTCAAAACTGCCTTTTCCTGTTGCAGCTGACTGAAGAAGGTGTGATTAGGAACATCACGCATTGGACTGTCCTAACCTTCCATAACTCATCTTTGAGGAATGGAAGTGCTCTTATTCCACCTCCAATGGATCCAGCTGATGTACCACAAGGACCTTGCTGGGAAACAACTGTGGGGATAGTAAGTAATTGTGTTGTACAGTGCTTCACAGATATTCTGATGGATTCCAGTCAAATTAATAGCAACTATAGTCCGTGCACTTGAGAATAATTTAATAGATTTAGAAAACAATTATCAATCTTTAAACATCTATTAAAAAGCTAAAGGAAGAAGATAAATGATCAAACATTCCTCTAACGTATCTTCTGCACCTTTACACCATATTGACATGAATATATATACAGTATATATACGTGTGTGTGTGTGTGTGTGTGTGTGTATGTATGATATATAAGGACATCACATAATTAAAAGTACCTCATACTTTGTTCAACTAGCCCTCTTCTGTGTGCACATCTTCCTTTCATTCTATCACAACAGCCAATTGCTGTTTTCTTTTAAACTGGAAACATTTTATAATTCCCAATGGTTTCTTGACAGCAGTATTAAAAGTATTTTCCCCCAATTATAATTTTGAACTGAAGTCAATCTTCTGAAAAGGAGATTTACACCGAAAAGAAGATCTATCATATTTTTGAATGCATGTGCTAAAATCAAGCCTTATCCCCAAAATTAGCCCTACATAAACATCTGCGCAACAGTCACCTGCCATTTCCTCTGGTTGCTTGCAGTGCCGACAACATGAGGTGAAGAGGGGAGGGGGGGAAAGGGGAGGAAAGGGGGAGGGGGGAAACTTGCCCCACACGCCCTTACCTAACAGTCACACCAGCCATCCATGTAAAACAACCGCACAGTGGCCACTCCAACAATCCTGGCCACTGGGCTATTTCTGTTGTTATGGCGGCACAAAAAGAGCAGGAGGCCGAGCCATGTGCTTCACGCTGGCTTACCTAATGATTGCATCAGCCATCCATGAAAAACAGATTCACAGCAGCCATTCCAGCAACCTGGCCACTGGGTCGATTCTGCTGTGTAATTGTGCCCGAAAAAGACCGGGAGGCCGAGCAACACGCCCCACACTAGCTGAACTAACAGTTGCACCAGCCATCCACATGAAACAGCCTCATGGCAGCCACACCAACAACTCTGGCCACCAGGCCGCTTCTGCTGTTAATGGTGGTGGCAAAAAGAGCAGGAAGCCAAGCGATGCACCCCATGCGCCTCTTGATGGCTTATCTAATGTTCACACCAGCCATCCACAATTTTTTACTGGTATTTTGTCTGGACTCATGTGGCTTGGCACAGCAAAGAAGAACTGCCTTTTATTTGTAAAAAAGCCCATCATTGCAGGAGATTTTAGATTCAGTGTTCTTGGTTGGGATATTTGCAATCTCCTCTTTCCAAATATCCAATTGAAACAATGCCCATTTTTCACCTGATGCTCATGGCAACATTGCCAGGTTGTCATATGGTCAACATTCAATAGCTTGGCAACTGACTCATATTTATCACGGTTATACTGTGGGGTCATGTGATCCCCTTTTGTGACCTCCTGACAGGCAAAGTCAATGGGGAAATCCAGATTGATTTAACAACCATGTTGTAACTTAACTACTGCAATGATTCCTTTGACAGGAAAAATGTAAAAATGAGTTTTTGTAAAAATGAGGCAAAACTCATTTTTTGTCTCATTGAAAAAATTGCAAATCCCAGGCACCACTCCCAGTCAACCACAATGCCAAATGCATCGCTTGGCTTCCTGCTCTTTTTGTGGCTGCAAGTACACAGGAGAAGTGGCCAGGTGGCCAAGGTTATTGGAGCAGCCACCACGAGGCTGTTTCACATAGATGGCTGGTGCAACCATTATTTCAGCCAGCATGACATGTGTGAGGTGTGGCGCTCTGCCTCCCACTCTTTTTGTGGCTGCAATAAAATAGCAGAATTGGCTTGGTGGCCAGATTGCTGGAGTGGCTGCCACGAGGCTGTTTCACAAAGGTAGCTGGTGCAGCTGTTAGTTAAGCCAGCACAAGGCACATGGGGAAGCTCGCTCCCCCACATGATACTGGAACATGGAGGAAAATTAAGACACCCCCGAAAAGAAGCCCTAGCCATTTGGGGATGGGGTCAAAAGAAAATAAGATGGGATCTTATTTTGGGGGAAATACGGTACTATAAGTGACTGAAAAATGATGAAATGCTAGAACCCTGCATTTATTTATTTATTCTCCTAAAATCCCTAAATAACATAGGGAAAAGGTAAATAGATTAAAAAATGAAACAATAATGAAAAAGAAAACTTGCCTGGTTTGGAATAGTTTTCTGAAAAGTCTAATCTAAATGCTAAAATTTAATAGACTATGACAAACTCAAGGCCCATGGGCTGGATCCAGTCCATGGGGTGCTTAAATTTGGCCCATGGGGTCACCCTGGAATCAGCGAATGACTGGCCCATGGTGCCTCTGCCAGCTAAAACAGAGCTCAGGAGAGCTGCATGTGGCCCTCCCAAACTGTTTTTTCTGGCAGAGGGTTGCAGGAAGCCACCTCATCTGAAAACAGAGCTTGCAAAGACCACTGGCAACCCTACCAAGCTCCATTTTCATTGGCAGAGGATTGCAGGTCGTCGCAACTGAAAAGGGAGCTTGGGAGCCCATTTTCACTGGCAGAGCACTCAGGGCACCACAGGTGCCCCTGACACGAGTGATGTTAAGCTGGCTGTGCCCACACTGGTCATGTCCACTCCAGTCCCCGAAGTCAAGCACATCCCTGATGCAGCCCTCAATGAAATCGAGTTTGACAGCCCTTGGTCTAAATAAATGTGCATTTTGATGTTTTAACTTTGCATGTATAAATTTAATGTGCATTTATAAATATTGCACACAGCATTATTTACCTGCCCAACCCAATCCCTTGGCATGCAAGATAAATCCTTCTTCAGCTGCTTTCCAGCTGTTTTGAAATCCCACAGGTCGATACCTATTGGCCAGCTATAGGCAAAGAAAGTGATTGGTCCTTGCTTATCTGGAAGAGAAAAATTTGTGGGGGAAGAGAATGTTGTAGCTGGACAGGACTGGATTATATGCCAACTGCTGACAAATTCCCATCTGAACAAGATTTTGAAGCCAATTTAGAGCCTTAATAACCACAGCATTAAGTCCAAATATGATGTATTTCATTTGGAAAGTAGGCTAATCAGGTCATCTAATTGTGGCCTTCATCATTGTAGTAGATATTCTTTATTTCCATTAATTTATAGTTTTCTGACATTTTCTTCTACACACTAGCTTTTATAGAATTATTCGTTTCCTTATAGAAATAGTAATAGCACTTAGACTTATATACCACTTCACAGTGCTTTATAGTCCTCTCTAAGTAGTTTACAGAGTCAGCAACAATCTGAGTCCTCATTTTACTGACCTTGGAAGGATGGAAGGCTGAGTCAACCTTGAGCAGGTGAGACCTGAACTTCCAAACTGCTGGCAGCCTGTGTTCAGCAGAAGTAGCCTGCGGTACTGCATTCTAACCCCAGTGCCACCACGGCTCTATATTTTAGGTTTCCTTGCCACTCTGCTGTAAGAAAAAGCTTTTTAAAAAACATGTTAGGCGTTGGGGACAGACTGTAGTTGATTTGGTATTTTGATTTGTGATTTAGTGCTCCCAGTCAGTATTATTATTACAAGGTTGGTTACACAATCAGTCATATGTTTAGATTGGATTTGGGATTTTTATCCACCTACTGAGTCCTTTCCTAGGATCAGCAGATGTTGTTTGATAGTGTTAAAGGTATCATCACAGGATTTAAGCAGTTCCAAATAAAGTTGCCTTTTGCAATAGACTAATGGTAATTCTCCTCCTCTTCCTCTACCATTCCCACAATTTTTCCTCATTTTTATTCTCTCAGATTTTCTTGTTTCTACCCTAACAAATTTATTCCATGTGAAATAGAAAGAAAATTGTGGTAAGTGCTAAATAAATGTTTCTCAATTTTTGTTTTGTTGCAGGAATTTATGAGGCTTACGGTATCTGATATTCTCGTGACATTTGTAACGATCCTAGTGGGAGATTTTCTTCGGGCTTGTTTTGTCAGATTCGTAAACTACTGCTGGTGTTGGGATCTCGAGGCTGGATTCGTAAGTCAGCTATTTGCAGAGGAAGCACAGAATTCATCTTAGAATAAATTTAAGCAAATGCTTTAAGCTGACCTTTTATACTTTTTCTGTATTTTGGTGAAATCCACAGAGAGTAAGTTGCAGCAGAATTCAGCAGCACAAACATCTATTTTATTTTTATTTTATTTATTTATTTTTGTCAATTGCTTACAAGATAATAGGTATAAGTAAAAACATAGTTATGAATACATGGATACATATAAGAAAAATAAAAAAATAAAAGAAATAATAGGACAGGGACGGTAGGTACATTGGTGCGCTTATGCACGCCCCCTGTGCTTATGCACGCTTTTACTTTCCCTTCTCAAATCAAACAGATAAAAGAAGATAGAGGGAGCTGAAACCACAGGAACCTTGGGTGAGAGTGACCATGTCATATTAACATAACATAATGCAAACACAAGCAATAGAACATAATGATATTAGAGTCATAGATTTTAAAAGAGCTGATTTTAATAAACTCAGAGATAACTTGGGAAAGATTCCTTGAATGAAAATCCTACTCAAGAATCTTGGGAAACTCTGAAAAATATCATAAAAGCATAGTCCAGCACAATATCACTGAAAAAACAACAACAAGAAATCCAAGAAGAAACCAGCATGGCTGCAGAAAGATCTCTCTGACAGATTGAAAGACAAAAATGACAAGGAAAAAAAATGGAAAGAAGGACATACAACTAAGGAAGAATATCAGCAGATAGCCAGAATCTACAAAGACAAAGTCAGGAAAGCAAAGGCTTAGAATGAATAAAGACTTGCAGCAAAAGTCAAAGATAATTTTTAAAAAATTTCTTCCAACATATAAATAACAAGAAAACAAACCAAGGAAACAGTCAGTCCACTAAAGATGGCAAGGAAGAACAAGCAGCAGAGAGAAAGCAGAGCTGCTTAACTCATTCTTTGCATTGGTTTTCATGCAAAAAGAAACAACAGTACAACCTTCAAAAGCAAACTAGAAATAAAAGTTAAAATAAGCAAAAAAAATTGTAAAAGAACACCTGATCTTGACAAATACAAATCACCAGGACCTCCCAGAGTTCTAAAGGAGCTAGCAGATGTCATCTCAAAACCACTGTACCACATCTTTCAAAAATCCTGGAGCACCGGGGAACCAGAGGTGGTATTCAGCAGGTTCTGACCAGTTTCTGGAGAACTGGTAGTGGAAATTTTGAATAGTTCAGAGAACCGGCAAACACCACCTCTGACTAGAGATTTTACAGTATCCTTCCCCTGCCACGCCCACAGAACTGGTAGTAAAACAAAATTAATCCCACCACTGCAGGGAATTATCAAATGAACTATCAGACTAGAAAAGAGCTGATGTGGTTCAAATCTTCAAAAAAGGAGAGAGAGAAAAAATCAGACTCAGACTCAGGAAACAGACTTAGGAAACTATAGACCAATCAGCCTAATATCAATATCCAGAAGATACTGGAAAAGATAATTTTTAAAAACAGATCTGCAAACAAGTAGAAGAAAATAAAATTATCACTAGAAGTCAACATCAGTTTGTTAAAAACAGATCATACCAAACCAATCTTATTTCATTCTTCAACAGAATGACTAAATTACTAGACAAGTGAAATACTGTGGATATGATATACTTAGACTTCAGCAATACCACAAAGTAGACCACAATCTATTTCTTGGTAAGCTAGAAAAAAAATGGGGTAGCATCACCATCAGATGGTTTGTAATGGGCAGACAAACTGTACTCAACAAGTAGTCCTTAATAGTACTATATCTACATGGAGGGAAGTAAGCAGTGGAGTACCACAAGGTTGTCTTGGCCCCAGTACTCTTCAATATCTTCATAAACAATTTAGATGAGGGAATAGAAGGGGGACTTATCAAATTTGTGGATGATACTAAGCTGGCAGGAATAGCCAACACCCTAGATCGGATTGGCAACCCACGGCTCCTTTGGGCCCTCTGCTGTAGCTCCCTGTCCCATCACTGGCTGGCCCCATCCCTCCCCTTCCAGTCACTCCTCACTTGACCTGAGAAGGTAAAGGAAATAGTGGGGGGTGAAGAAGTGGCTGGGGCTGATTCTCCAGTGCCTCAGTCTTGCTGGAGCTTCTTCTGGCCCTTGTTGGTGCTGGGCATGCCTCAGTCACTTGGGGATGCGCAACCAGCTATCCACCCCGAGACCCTGGCCCGACCTGGCCATGACTGATGCTAACATGAGGGCTGGTGGGTTGGGAGTGGGATCCATGAGGAAGCAATGATGGAAAGGGGCCTACAGCACCCAGCCACAGTTTTAAGAAGCTCAGGGCAGCACAAAAAGTGCAGGAGCAAAGTGGCCCTGTACTTGCCTTCGCATCACATTTGCACTGAAGGCTCTCCTTGCCTCCCACTGCTTCGGGCTCAGAGGTGTAAGCTGTTGGGACAGAGTTGCATTGTGGCTCCGAATCATAATGGGCTCCAGGAGGAGGAGGAGACCCCATTTCCTGCATTGTGAAGTAACTAAAATCCAGTTTACTGCACAAGGTGCTGCAAGAGTGCCTCATGGCCTGCCCCAATGCCTCATATCAGAATCAGGGTGGGGAGAGAGATACAGAAAGAGGGGGGAGAGAGAGAGAGACAGAGAGGGGGAGAGAGAGGGGAAGAGAGAAGGGGAGAGAGAGAGACATAGAGAGAGGCATAAAGAGAGAGACACACAGAGAAGAGTGATACAGAGAAAGGGGAGAAACAGAGAGGGAGATAGACATAGAGAGACACAGAGAGAGATACAGAGAGGGGGAGGGGGAAGAGAGATACAGAGAGAGGGGGAGAGAGACATAGAGAGCCACAGAGAAAGAGAGATACAGAGAGAGGGGGAGAGAGACACATAGAGAGGGAGAGATACAGTTTTTTGTATTCTGCACAGTAGTGGATTTTTAAGCTGTGCAGATGCAGATAGATACACTCAACAAAACGTCCATAACAAAGTACATTTATTGGTTCATCAGGTATCCTCATAACTCACATTTGTGATGAAGTTCTTCTTTAATGACCAATCCTTTGCATATCTGCTTTGTAGGTAAAAGATGGTTATCTCCTAACCCATCTCGTAGCGATAGAAAGCAGCTGCCATGAGTTACTGAATTCAGGCAAAAGTGAGAAAAACTCCCCCAACCCATCAAGGGTCAAATTAGTGACCAATCGGGATTACAGATGTGGCCGCGTGACATGAACTACATTTCCCAGGACACCTTTTACTACATTTACCATGATCACCATCCCCTTAAGGGGACAGCTCATAATTCCTAAGTAACTATCCAATTCCCATAGACTGGCTGGGACAGCACACTCCCCACCTGGAATTGTAAATTCCACTATTAAGGGAAGAGAAAAAAAATTAACTATAAACTAAGATAAGCGGTAAACAGTAATACTATGAATAGCAGATAACTATATAACTAAGATAAACAGTTAGCTATATAACTGAGAAAAACAGTAAACATTAATAAAGTATCAAACAAAGCAAAGCATGCAAAGCTTGAGGTTCAAACTTCAAGTTCGGCCTCTTGGTGCAAGTCTGGTGGTCACCTCTGGTGGCCTTTTAGGGTATACAGGTACTCTTGGTGGCAAAGGTGAAAGTCTGGTGGTTGCTCCTGGCGGCCTTTTAGGGTTGACAGGTACTCTTGGTGGCAAAGGTGAAAGTCT